CAAAGTTATTTAAGTCCCTTTTGATACTCCAGCAGTATCATCTACAATGGAATAGGTGCATTCAATCGGAATGTCTTTAGTTGGTGTTTCTTTCCAACTGTGAAAACAAAATGCTCTCAATATGCTTGGTTTCCTTCCGTAGAGATAAAAGTGATGGGATAAATTTATGAACATCAAACAATTTTTAATGTCATCTTAATTATCAGTTTGCTAAAGTGTATTACAAATAAATTTTATCAGTTAATTTGAATTTTGGCGCTGAATCTAAAAAATGACCTTACTTTTTCTTGGTTAGCTAGCATTTTTGTTGTACAGAAATGCCTTTTTTGTTTGGAAAAATTTTTTTTTTTCATTTGTTTTCTGTATATATGATATTCACTGACGGCAATATTTCTCAAAATAATATCGTAGAAACTTCTCAATTCGTATTTAAACCAAGAAATATTGGTCTGCTTATTGAGAAATACTATTTTTGCAATAACAATCAGACGCTAAGTCTTTAAAAATAATACGATTGAATATATTAAGATCAACAAGTTTTTACATCAAATCATTTAATAAACTAACAGCAGAAATAAAACATTCGTGAACATAAGAACTATAGTAAAAGTTTTCTCTTTCTTGATTGTCATGTTCAATGTTATTTAAGTCCCTTTTGATACTCCAGCAGTATCATGTACATCGGAATATGTGCATTCAATTGGGATGTCTTTAGTTTGAATTTCTTTTCAAAGCAAAATGCTCTCAATGTTACCAAATAATTTCGGAACATTTTTCAATAAAAAAAATCTAATTATGTGATTTGTTGAGGTTTTAAAAATGAAATTGCTTGTAGATTAAATGACGCAAACACATGCCAGTCACTCACGTACAATACAAACATACGTATGTCAGTTACACACATACCTGAAGTCATATGACTGACAGAGAATCATGACTTATTTTATAACATAGATTTTAGAATTTTACCCGTACCGTAAGTTCATATTGACAGCATATTTTGTTAAACACTTCCTAGCAATAAATAGTTTTCATACATTAGACTTTAAAATTAAAGATTAAATGAAAACTTATCTTAGTCGACGCATTTTAGAATTACGTCATTGACTCTGATAAAAATACAAATCAGTGCACTGGATTTTTTTCAAATACATCCGTTCCCGAAAGAATTACTCCTCTCACGAGCTAAGATGCATGACTATAGAAATGTTAAAAAAATTAAAAGAAGACTTTTAAATTCTTAACCACTTGTTATTTAATATAAACTGGATAACTACTTGTCACTTAATATAAACTGGGTGTAACAGCAAAACTGCCCAAATCGTGTAACAGCAAAATTGTCCAATTGTTAGATTAGGCACTCAACCGTTGTATCTTAGAAATGATTAAAGATATCTTACTGGAATTCACCGAGATTTTTATGACACTATTGGAATCTACTTTGACCAATACAAATGCAGAATTACTCTCTAAGGTTAACAGAAGAATAATGATGAAATCGATCATAAACGAAAATGACATTTTCATCATTACGTAAGCATAACCAAGGATCGGAAACACATGCAGTATTGAAATATAGTAAAACTTTATACATACATATTATTCCTGGGCCATTTTCCAACTTATTCAAGATGGTCTTCGCCCTCTCTAACTTTCTAACTTTTTGTCTGGCGTAACAAGGTGCCTCAGAAGTTTCACGTACGAATTCATTTTCAAAGTCTTTTTTCATTCCTACGTGAATCTCTTCTCTCACGTGCCAAACGTCTTATAAATTGAGTTGGATCTTTTCTAATTGATCTCTTTAACTCTAAGTTGAAATGATGATCCCTCTTTCTGTTATGACGACAGGAACCAGTGTTCTTCTCACTGTCACTGTTCTCTTGAGGGTTCTTGAATGGCCTTTAAAGATGGATATTAGTACCATGAATGAAGGTCTGAATGATTTTTTTCCCTCTCATTATTGAGAAGACAGAGGAGTTGGCACAAATCAATATTAATCTGTATATATATATATATATATATATATATATATATATATATATATATATATATATATATATATGTACATAAAAATTCCTATAAAAAACTACTACTATGACATTACACTATATTATTGAACTATATACTTAGTTCATGACATAAAAACTGAATACACTTGTAAAAATAGAATACGTGGATTTAACACATCACAAGAAATATTTAAATAAAATTTCACTTAAAAATTTTGAAAAACTTAGCGTTGCGTCTTTGCACGTTCGAGATCTTACACAACCGTCAATAATAGCAGATATTCAAAAACATCTTTCGGTCGACATACAGGTATATCGTCTCAAGTTTTTGATTTTATAAGGAAAAAAAACATGCCTGATGATGGATGGAAGACTATCCGTAAGTACTAGCATTTTAACATCAAATAAACTGAAAACTACAGACAACAAGTTTTTCGTCAAGGATCAAAACTCGCACTGTGGATGAACAGGATTTTAATGCATATATTATGTTTTCTAGCGATGGATGTCGCCAATAATCGCATTAATACTTCTGATTAATTCTATGTGTGATTATTCTTTTTGTATGTAAATCATATGCTGCCTAATGTTTTATGTTTTTTATATATATATATATATATATATATATATATATATATATATATATATATATATACCGCTTTCATACTAGTTTCATTAAAAGCGACTGACAACGTATTGTTGTTAAGATTTTAATCAAATTTCCCCGATGCATTTACAATATTCTTCTTTTTTAAAAGTAAATAATGTACAAATTATCCAAATGTTTCGTATGTCCCCGTCCTTTCGGCTATACTTTTACCCAATATCAGGGATGAATTTTATTTTTACTTCAAATTCAGCGCATTGATTGATTTATGCATGTATCTCATTCTGTTCATCTCTCTATCTCTCTCTCTCTCTCTCTCTCTCTCTCTATATATATATATATATATATATATATATATATATATATATATATATATATATATATATATATATAAAAGAAATATAATGTAGTGGTTCCAACGAGAGAAAAGTATGTATATTAAAAAAAAGAAGAGAGGTGCCGCAAAAGTTTTTGGTTGTAATGTGGATTTATTTAGAAAAAATATTATGTTTTGTTTTACATAATAATTAATTTTTCCTCATGTTCAATGTTAAATATTCTCGATATGAGACATTTTCTGTTTGTGTGTTGGTAATCTGAATTTCCCTAAAGGGAAATTCAGATTATATAAACACGTGTCGTGAAATTACGTAAAACAAAACATAATATTTGTGAAATTATGTAAAACAAAACATAATATTTTTTCTAAATAAATCCACATTACAACCAAAAACTTTACGGCACCTCTCTTCTCTTCTTTTTCTATTTAATATATATATATATATATATATATATATATATATATATAGGTAATAATTCCGTTGGTACATAATCCAGGTAGATCCTTGTAATACAAAATATTTAAACTGATCCACAAAAGAGCTCAATGTATTTATTATTACAGAGCAAATAATTGGTACAAAATAGAATTCAAAATTGCCTCATATGGGGAATAAGCTTATATCAACCAACCGACAAAAACTTCGTCAGTCATATTAAGTTCGTCTATGCCGTGTATTTTTGTGTGAAGAAACAGCTCCTAAATTTTGCAAAACTATTTTTGATACACCATATATATATATATATATATATATATATATATATATATATATATATATATATATATATATATATATATATATATATTGCCAACAATAATTCTGAAAATAAAGACAAATTGGTTTAAAAATGACAATTGGAACAAGAACTAAGAATTTTCCAACTGTCATTTTAACCCATATATATATATATATATATGCTCACTTGTATGAATGTGAATTTGTAACTCTAGGTTTCACGCTTTTGCAATCATCAGACAAACTATCACCGATATTGAGCACTTTCCAATAAGTACCGCGCATATATATATATATATATATATATATATATATATATATATATTTCTGCATTTTTTCGTGTATGACACAGCGTTTTGAAGGAATGTACTGACATAGGAAATAATATCTCAATATACAAATATTGTATCTTAAAATTAATCGTTTTTATTCAGGAAATTATTGGCATTCTTTGACAGAATGCTTAGTTTGAAATTCATAAAATCATTGTCTTAGAAGTACTTATCCTTGAAAACAAACTTTTCAATCCGTCTGCTAACCTTGTTTTTAGAGTATTGATATGTGTTTCCTTGCAAAACGTCTTGTTTTTGGCTTAGTAGAAAGTTAACAGGTTGATTATCTCATTATTTTCTCTTGTAGTTACTTGTGCTGCGCATTTTTTTTTCTTGTGGAATAAAAGAACTACCGTTCCAGCTCCGGGGGCCGGGGCTGGCGATGATGAAACTTGAACACCCAAAGCTGTTCCAAAATCTGAACTCGCAATGAAATAGTCTGGGGTAAATTTTCCAAGGTAACTTACGAAAAAAGAAAAGAAAACAAACAAACAAAATCAAATGAAAATAGACGCTGAGTCTCATTCCTCCATATTCAATACCGCTGGGAGTCCGTAGGACAGTGGTTTTTACGGAGTAGAGTTGCCCGGCCTCCGCCAAAATGGCTTGGATTAATTGTTGTTTGTCTTCTAGTAGTCTGGCTAACATCCAAACTCAATATATATATATATATATATATATATATATATATATATATATTATATATATATATATATGAGTATATATATAGTATATCTGTGTGTATACATGGGTGTGTAAGTATGTAGAAACATATATATATATAAATATATATATATGTAAAAAGTTATGTGTGTGTATATATATATGTGTGTGTGTGTGTGTGTGTCTGTGTGTGTACGTACGTGTCTATGTGTGCATGTATGTGTGCATATTTATATCAATATGTCACTGAGCTAATGCTGGAAAAGAATTCATTTCAAATACCTTTGTTAATGCACTTAATACACGTTATAACTACGCGTATGTTTCCGAATATAGATAGATAGACAGACATAAACAGACTGAGATAGATGGATAGATAGATATGAAAAGACTGAGATAGATAGATAGATAGATAGATAGATAGATAGATAGATAGATAGATATGAAAACACTGAGATAGATAGACAGGCATAAGGAAAGTAAATTTAAGTAGGTAATTATATATATATATATGGCATATTATTATTATTATTATTATTGTATTTTATGTTTCCTGCTTTGTCTCCTGTACAGCGGAGTCCAAACTATGATTCTTAGGCTCTATAGGAGAATTGTCATTTAATTGATAGCACTTTCCTTAGTATATGGGATGTTCCTAGTAGGGCGATCTTCTGGGCAACTTGTATGTTGATGTTACCTGGGACATTGTTAGGAAAATTATCCATTCTTTTTCTCACATGACCCAGAGTTCCGATTACTATTGGTACAGTCTCAGGCTTCATTCCCCACATCATGTTAATTTTGATCTACAGGTCTCTGTATTTGAACAATTTCTCGATAATTTTTATGGAGGTGTTTCTCTCCGATGCTACTACTATGTCAATAAGGATACACTTCCTGAATTTCTTTTCTTTTATGATAATATCAGGTCTGTTGGTATTTATTTCCTTATCAGTTTGAATCTACATGTCCCAGAGGATAGTTACATCATTAATTTGGGTAACGCTGTCTGGTTTGGTGTTCGTACCATCTCTCAGTGGTTTCGATTTTGTACTTGCATATCTTCATGTACACATATGTCGCTACCTTGTTATGTCTGTGTGTATATTATTATCATTGTTTATTTTCTTTGATTTCTGGTGTGTATGCATTTTTTTCCGGATCCCGCACAGGGACCTAAGGTCAGAAATGGCATCATGCCATTTTCCACTGACCAATTAAAAAAAAACACATATTTTAAATAGATAAAGCCCTTCGTAAAGTGTGGGCTGTACTCGTGAGAACAATTTTTTGCATTTCTTTAAGGCATGGGCTTCCAGGAATCCCTTCAATTAGTCTACTGGAATCTTTTCCAGACAATTAGAGGGCTCCAACTACAACAGAGATTGTTGATTTTCCCATGTGCCTCATTTTTGAGGTTTAGATTTTAAGGTTAGATAGCTTTCTGAAGATCTTCAAAGATACATTGCAGTCTGTAGGGACTGCCATATCAATAAGGCGGCAATTTTTTGTTTGCGGTATCTAATAACAATGTTTAGGCGGTTAGCTTAGATTGTTCTGTCTGTATGTATTGTGTAGTTCCATAAGAGATTTTTACAAGTCCTATCTCCGTAATCGAGTCTATGTAGTGTTCATACCAATTTCTTTCAGTTTCCTTCGCGCAGAAGTTGCAGATATTCCGATTATTATTATTATTATTATTATTATTATTATTATTATTTTGCGTTTCTTGCATATCTTCATGTGCAAATATGCCGCTACATTGTTATGACTGTTGGTATATTACTATTATTATTATTATTAATTATTATTATTATTATTATTATTATTATTATTATTATATTTACTTTGATTTCTTGTGTACACATTTCTTTCCTGGTCCAACCCAGAGACCTAACTTTAGAAATGGCATCATGAACTTTTCCACTGACCAATTTAGCACTATGTTGTAGTAGTGAGAACATTCTTTTGTATTTCTAAGGCATGGGCTACCAGGAATCCCCTCAGTGAGTCTACTGGAATTTTTATCTACCCAATTTAGAGTCTCCAACTACAACAGAGATTGTTGATGTTCTCATGTGTCACATTTTTAAGATTTCAATTTCAAGGTCCTTGTGTTTTGATAGCTTTTTGAAGATCTTCAGCAATACATTGCAGTCTGCAGGACTGCCATATCAATAGGGGGGCTTTTTTTTCTTTCTTTTGCGGTCTCTAATAACAATATCTGGACGGTCAGCTTTGATTATTATTATTTTTATTTTCTTTGATTTCTGGCGTTTACACATTTCTTTCCGGGTCCCGCCCAGGGACCTAAGGTTAGAAATGGCGTCATGACACTTTCCACTGACAAAAAAAAAAAAAAAAAAATTACATAGATAAAGCCCTTCGTAAAGTGTGGGCTGTACTTGTCAGAACAATTTTTTGTATCACCTTGAGGCATGGACTTCCAGGAATCCCTTCAATTTGTCTACTGCAATCTTTTCCAACCAGTCCTAGGGCTCCAACTACAACAGGGATTGTTGATGTTCCCATATGCCACATTTTCGAGATTTTTATTTCAAGGTCCTTGTACTTTGACAACTTTTTGAATATCTTCAAAGATACATTGCAGTCAGCAGGGACTGCCATATCAATAAGGAGGCACCGTTTTTGTTTGTGGTCTTTAATAACAATATCTGGGCGGTTGGCCTTGATTGTTCTCTCAGTGTGTCTATAGTCCCATAGAATTGTAACAGGTCCTATCTCCGTAACCGGGTCTGGGTGGTGTTCATACCAGTTTCTTTCAATTTCCTTCCCGTAGAAGTTGCAGATTTTCCAGTGCAGATATTGACCCACTCTGTCATGTCGGGTTTTATATTCAGTGGGTGCCAACATCGTGCAACCTGATACAAGATGATCAATCGTTCTGGATATTTATCACAGAATCTGCATTTTCGGCTGACACAATATTTTAGTATATGTGCTTGATAATTCCTAGTTAGCAAGCATTGGTCCTACGCAGCAAGGATAAAACCTTCAGTTTCCGCTTTCAACCCTGCACTACGTAGCCACTGATGGGTACGGGTTTTGTCTACGTCAGCTTGTTTGGTACGGGCAGAGTATTGGCCATGAAGCGGTTTATCTTGCCATCGCTTCTGTAACTGGTCGGTTGCATTCGTCTTTGCTGTCTTTTTTAGGTATTTTGCAGTTTCAGCCGGTGTATTGTACTGTAGTTGCATCTCTACGCCCATTTGAAACTCCATTTTGAATTTGTTGGCTTCTTTCATTACGGAGTAAAGACGCTTACTACTTTCATGTTCCTTGACGCATACCATCATCCAGTCTTCTGCAGCTTCCAAATATCTTTGGAGGCCAATTGTTGTAGTTTTGTAGGACAGTTCTAGTTGAACTAATCCTCTGCCTCCTTCGGATCTGGGCACATACAGACGATCGACATCAGCTTTGGGATGATGCATGCGATAGCAAGTGAGAAGCTTTCTCGTTTTGGCGTCCATTCGCTTAATTTCAGCTATGGTCCAGTTAAGGACATTAAATCTGTATTGCACCACAGGGACAGCCAATGTGTTTATGGCTGATATCCTGTTTTTTGAGTTTAGCTCAGTATTTAGTACCAGACGTACACGCCTGTAGTACTCTTTTCTTATTTTTTCCTTCATTTGGGGGTGTTGTAAGCCATCTCCTTCACTAATTCCTAGGTACTTATATGCTTCACCATGCTCCAGTTCCCTAATTTTTGTGATAAAATCTAAATCTATTATTATTATTATTATTATTCGTATTATTATTATTATTATTATTAGCAGCAGCATGTTGATATCGCACATAGATGTATGCTGTGTAAAACCTATTCCTGAGGTATTGTGTCAACAAAACTTCTAGGTAACTGCAACCATTTTTAGTTGACTGAAAGCTCATGTTCAGAGATATGTAAGTAAAGTGAAGACGACAAAAGAATACATTAGCGTTTCAGTTTCCTGTCGGGCGATAACTGGCAATTCTTAATGAACAGACAATTAAATCTAAATTAATATGACAAATATGATTAACTCTGGGAATGGGAATTTTCTTCTGACTTTACAAAATAATTTCAAGATCGATGGAATAATGAGGCCATTATTAATCAATCTGGATTTCAACGAATCTGACTGGAGATATTTTTAGTAAAGAAATTGCACCACCTTTGCAAGTTGAAAGTGTTGAAATAAATACGTTAACCCTTTCTTCCAAGAAGGATTGCATTTTAAAAAATGCATTAGAAATCTCAATCTTTTTGTTTTTAATATCAGATTATTTAATAAAATAATAATGAAGATACAGTCACGTGTTGGTCCAGTGCAAAAAAAAAAAAAAAAAAAAACTTCAATTTCAGTTTTCAGCTCTGCACTACGTCGCCACTGATGAGTATGGAGTTTGTCTACATCAACTTGTTTGATGGTTTGGTTTGTTTTGTTTTACGGCATATAAATACCTCAGTGGGTCATTTAATGCCGACAACTTTTTTCCCCTGGTAATATTTTTGTTTTGTCAAAAATCTATTTCTGTTAATATTTTTTTTCCTCAAAAATGTATAGCTGGTAATATTATTTCAAAAATGTATAGCTGGTAATATTTTTTTTTCAAAAACGTATAACTGGTAATATTATTTTTTTTTCCAAAACCATACAGCTGGCAACATTATTTTTTCAAAAACGTATTATCAGAGGCCTTGCTGTTGGACGTAGTTTATCGTCTTACCCAGGACGCGGATGTAGTTTATTGTCATACCCAGGACGCCAACTCGTTTGATACGGCCAGATTATTGTTCGTGAAGCGGTTTATCTTGCCATTGTTTCTGTATCTGGTCGGTTGCACTTGCCTTTGCTTTCTTTTTTTAAGTATTTTGCAGCTTCAATCGGTGTATTATGCTTTACTTGTATTTCTTCACCCAATTGAAACTCTATTTTGAACTTGTTGGCTTCCTTTATTCTTCTCCTTCTTCTTCTTCTTCTTCTTCTTCTTCTTCTTCTTCTTATTATTATTATTATTATTTCTGATATGATCACACTACCCCCCAAGTCTGCTTGAAGACTAAGGCAGGTTGTGGCCTGTTGTTATGGCTACATTTCATGATTTGTTTTCTAACTTCCATAACATCAATTGTGTTACATGAACACAGTTCTTCTTATAGTATCGTCTGTACTTATCAAGACATTTTTTGTATTTCTCTTAAGCTGGGATTTCAAGGGATTGTTTTCAATGAATTCTTTCAATTCCATATCTTTTCTATTTCGATTTCCAGGTTTTTATACTTCAATATTTATTCAAATGCCTTTGTTGCTCTCACAGTTCCCTGGAAAAGCCAAATCAATTAGTAGTTTTTTTCTTTTCGGTTTTTGACAAATATGTCTGGCATATTTGCTTCAATCTTCATCTCTGTAAAGATGGTGTAATCCCATAGAATTATAATGTCTTCTATTTCTGTAACCAGTGCTG